TTTTAGTTTATCACTTCTAACAATCACACTTCCACAGGAAAAAAATACAAATTATAATCATGCTTTTGATATGTTTTTTTTTACTATCTAAACCTTGTTTGAAGACTGCATTTGATTTTCTAAATTTTTTTAAGCTCATTTTATGTCATTGTTTATAAACAATTTCTATTTTATTTCGTATGCTCTAGTTCTAATAACATGCAAAACATAATCATTAAAATCCAAAATAATCATCTACTAAAAATGTAAGTATCATATTATAAAAATTAGACCCCTTTCTTAGTTTTATGTCAAAACTATAATAATAATAAATGTGTAAAATCCCTTTAAAAATATATTTCTTTGTTTTTAATCCATACATTTTATAACAAAAAGTTAGATAAAATTTTCCAATTTATAAAATAAAACTGATATTTAATGCTTAAAAATATATTTTTTTTCATTCACACAACAGTTATTTTTGTTAGAATTGATTTATTGTTAATCATTTCTGAAAACAAATAAATATATTAAGCATTTTTACACAATTTAAGAACATTTAATCTAGACAAAAAAAATAATAATAATAAATAGTAGAAAGTAAAAAATTAGTAGAAGAGTAACGAAAAAGTGTCGAGAAACAGAAGGAAAAAAAAAACCCCGTCATTGTCAGAAGTGATCAGCGAATCTGGGCCTAACTGTTTGAGTCATCGTTTTGCGTCCTTCGGCTTTCTTCCATCTAGGAGGTATTGTTCAAACCCATGTATATATTCTTGAAGAGAAAATTGAAGTTAAATTGGAGGGAAAAAATGCATTAGCGGCTCGTTTTTATCTTTGCAAAATTTACATTAAAGCGAAATAACGTTTATAGATATTCTGAAAATTTGTGAGAATGGCACACAATTTCGGCCAGATTTCCAACTTTATAGGATCCGAAATATTTTGGAACAAAATTCAAAAATAACTATCTTCGTAAAAAAAAAAAAAAGAAGAAGAAAGAAAGAACTAGCTCAAAATGTGTATTTCTAAAAGTAGACATAGCTCGAAATACAAAATTAAAAAATAATTACGTAAGGAAGAAAATTGTGATTTTATTATTGCAATCACTGGTTACCGATTGGTCAAATGTTTCTTCTTCTTCCTTAATAGACTTTCATAAACAAAAATTGTCATTAGTTGCAAAAACTACATCAATTGATTTGTCCTCTGTTTTCAATTTCAGTCAATATACTACATTTACTACATTTATTAAGACGTCACAAAATTCTTTTCCTTCAGTATTTATATTTATATCATATAAAATCACAGCAAAGATAGTAATTATAAATAAGTAAATAACAAAATGAATATTTAAATAATTTTTATTAATGCTTATGTTAACCTGATTTTTTATGACTATTCTATTTTTGGCAATTCTTTTTTTGAGATTATGGTTTTGAAGTTGATCGAAGTTGTTCAGTTCCTTTTAAAGTTTTAACTTCAGACAATGTTTAAAAAATTAAAGTAGTGAAAAAAAGAATTCTAAAAAAATTATCAAACAGCAGCTGTCGCCATAGCAACGCATGAAATGACGACGCGGGCGTACTGTTTACTATTTCTCTTGAACACAGTCGAAAAGTGTGACGAGGTCTAAAAAATAGCACGCCATCAAACCCAAAACAACACTCATTTTGCCAATGGGTAATAATAAAAACGAAAAATAAATAAAAAGAATTGTTCTAAACTCGCTTCTATGAACAAAAACGGTTACTGCAAATGTATGTTTTTTTTTCCTTCTAAATTTTAACTTGTATATTTCAATGAAACACAATGTTATGTTGCTAATTTTATCGACAACAGTATGAAGCCATCTAGAATTTTATCTTAAATTGTAATATTGAACATTTTTGCATATACAAAATTGCGAACCTTTAAAGAGCGACATTTGATTACATACATGTCACTGCACGTTCTGAAGATAAATATTAATATTTTTCAGGGTGTTACAGCTACAAGGTTGTGAAGTTCTTCAATTTTTTCACCATTTTGAATTATGTAATTTGAAGTGACAAAATACAAATTTTTGAAAAATGGAGATTTAAAAGAACGACTTGAAAACGAAAATTCGAAATTCATACAGTTTTATAGCTCAGAAAGTATTCGACCGATTTGAAAGTGCATGTTAAAAATGATGTAAAATTATGTATGCCTTACATTTCAAAACTTATTCGGCTGTTATTGAATTTAATAATTAGTACTTATTAAAAATTTCTGTTTACCTGGATTTATCTTTGTGTAACACATAAGTAATCAAAAAATTTATGTATGTTGCAAATACATAAGTTTTTTGATTTACTTAAAAGGTTAATATTCGAAATAAGCAAAGTGTGAAATTAAGAGAACTAAAGGTTTGGCCCCTCTCTTGACCAAACTATAGGGACAATATTTTCTAGATAACGGCTATACCTCCTTCAACATACTTCGATGGTCAAAAAACGAACGGTCGGGGAAAAAAGTAATTTACTGTCCATGTAATCATTTATTTACTTAGAAAACATCAACGTTAAAAAATGTAAAACTGTTGAAATTTTAAAAAACTCAATAAAAAAAAATTTGATAATAGAATATGTCGATAGTTTTAAAAACTACGTTTTTCAAGTGAACTTAAAAACAAAAAGCGTATCACTTTCATAAGACGAGGTAAGGGAATTAACGGAAATGGTATGCCCTTCATTTTACGTTTTAGCCGTGACAAGAATAGCATTGCTTTCTCCGTTTTAGTTCATTTGAAAAACGCAGTTTTAATTTTTAATTTATTTAAATTTATTTTTATCTTATATTTCTTAGCTTGTTTAAAACGAAATATAAAATGAGGCTAAATTTTACTCAATTAATACTTTTTACCAAAATTACGTTCCTCCTGAAAGACTTATTACTATTTTTCCATTTATTTTGCTTTTTAGTAAAAAAAAAATTCTATTTCAGTTACCATTGGTTTTAAATTTTTTGGTTTTATATCCATACGTTTTAAAAACAATCAACAAAATAAACACATAGTTTTAGAAAAAAAACTAATTTGATGACGTAGTCCTTCTATGCTACAACGTTCATGCTGATCATTGAGTTGATCTGACATAACGAATGAAAAATAATTAAATAAAGAACATTCAAAACTCCTTTTTTTAATCAGAAAGAAAACTATAAGCTATCAAATATCACTGATGTTTTCTTTAGAATATTTGATAAAACAGAATCATCTCTACTTTTATCAATTCCTAGTTCTGAACCATTGATAAAATTTTATTTTCCAAACGTTTCTACCGCATGATCTAATTGAACTTTTAGGGTGATTTTTAGGATCTAAAATTTAATCAGGATAAAATTGCTACATACATCTTTTGTGCGAATTTCGGGACTGTTTTTCATTTTATTATTATAGATATCAGCGAATAGAAATTAACGCTTTTTCTTCCTTATATATTTTTTACAAAAAATTTACAACTTATTATTTCACCGAAACTCCTCAACTTATTTATTTCAAATTTAGGATTTGAAGCATTAAGTAGTTAAACATAATTTTTATCATTTGCAACTTATATTGTTTTTTATTTATCAGTACTTAATAATTTAAAAAGCAGCAAATAATTAGTGAGTGTCCTAAATATTTTGAGAATTAAATTTCTTGAATTCATCAAATGGGTATGATAAACCATGCAACGTGGACTTTTAACGCAGTAACATGTGTAATATCAGTAATTTAGGAAACATAAAATTTTTAATTTTAATTTAATATGGCTGACAAAAAATTTGTAATTTAATTATTTAATAAATTCACTTGAGCGTAAAAATCAAAAGGTTGTATAAATTCATTTTTTTAAATTTATCAAATTACTAATAAAAAAAATGTTGCTGGAAAACAAAAATACTTGTTTAATTTCCTGATGAAACTTGGGGTGCTTCTATGTAATCATCGCTGATGAAACGATAAAACAAATGTAGATGTTTTCAGTCATCTTCCTCACACATTTCGACAGTATTAATATATTTTCTTTTTTAGAATATAAATTTACATTGGGCATACTTTTTTGCCAAATACTTAAAAAAAATACCTAGCAAGGTTAGGGAAAACGAAACACTGCAACATCATTTTCATCTCTATTGGGGAAAAAGATTCATCACTTGATATTGATGGGATAATTGTTTTTATTTAATGCCCGTATCAATTTTTTAATTAATCAAAATCTATTAATTAATCTAATTAATCGATTTAATCAAAATTATCAACAACAAAAATTAATTTTAAAAAAATTAATTATTAATCAAAAATTAATAAAAATTAAATAAAAATTATTAATCAAAAAAATTTAAATCAAAAAATTTAATTAATTTTAAAAAATTTCATTAATAAATAAAATAAAGCATGTATTTTTATTGCAATTAATGCAAACACATCGAAAAGTTCTTTAAAAACAATTCTGTGCAAATCATTCTGACAAGACTTTTATTTTTAAACCTGATCAGAGAAACAGCCTGTAACTCAGCCCTAAGTTTCATCGAATCTAGGTAGTGTTCATTCGAGATTTTATCAACTCTTGATAATGCCTAAGATAGACTTAAGTTAATGTTCGATGGAGATTTCATCGAATGGTGATATTTTGTTTTTATGACATAGCAAGATTTGATCAATTCGAATATGTTCATATTTCAGATGCCATCCTTAAATCTATTTAAAACGTTTACTGCTGATCTCGGGCCAGAGCGTATATATAGCAGCAGCTAGGAAATAAAACACAATCATTTAAAAAGTAGAAAAAAATTTATTTTTATTATAATAATAAAATGAAAACTACAAATGTTAGCATGCATATAATTAAAAAAAAATAATATATAGATTAATTAAAAAAATTCATCTTAAACATATAAAACAAGTTTTTATAAATAATAAGAGAAAGAAATTTAAAATTAAGACACAGAAAAAAATCTGTGAAGACAAAGAGCCAATAAAAACATGATTCATCACAAATAAAATCTAGAAAAATTACTTTTATAAAGTATTTCTCAGTGTAATTGCAGCTGAAGTTTCCTTTTTTGTTAATTAAGTCCTTATTAGTAATAGGCCTTGATACATAACTAGGAAAGAAATTCCAATTCAAAATAAGAAACTTATATTGAATCAATATAAAATAAGTAAGCAATTTAGTATATATAGTGTTCCATAATAAACATCGTTGTTATATATTTTTAGAGTCCTTGTTGGAAAAAAGAATTAAAAAAGCATGCACACTGGAGGTTGCAAATTAATATCTAAGTAATGAAGAAGCAAAAACACTATTAAAATCTCATAATCACTAGCGAGGAAGGTAGAGTAAAATTCACCAAAACAAATTTAATTGCTTGCTGAAATTTGGGCACTCTTCTAATAATTATTGTTGACTCTTTTTTGTTCTACTTTGCAATCTGACAGATTTTGTTGTTTTTAATAATGCCAGACCTGGCAGTGATGTGTTAGAAAAAAAGATTTAGTTAAAGAAGACTGTGTTAGATTTAGAAGTATTTCTTCCCCAGGGGGCATAACCAAATCTTTCAACAAAAAATACTTTTTAAGCATTTAAAAAATATTTTTAAGCACTATATACATTAACAAAATGCAATTAATTTTCAAAGACTTTACATAAACATATTCTGACAAAGAACTCTTTTCTTGGTTTTATTAGCCATTATAAAATTAGATTTTTTGGTTCGATATCAGAGAGGAGAAAATGAAGCCTGAAATTGAGAATATCTTGCAAAATGCAGCAGAGTTGCGCATGAGAGTGCAATAGTTTCACTGAACCCAGCTCACTAGACGCACATGCAGACCTGCAAGTATTTCATCAAACATGTAAAATGATTGGTGCTTTCATACGCTATGGACCGACGGTACACCGAAATAGATTGTGGTTGAATGAATTGTGAAAACGTTGAATAGAATCAGTAAAAAGCACGCTTTTGCATAATACGAGGAGAAAATCGAAACAGTAAAGAAAAAAATCTCATTTTCGAAAAATTAAGCACTTTTAAAAAACACCAAATAAAAAAAGCACCTTTAAGGGCTTTTAAAAATCGAAAATAAGCACCTTTAAGTATTTTTTAAAAAGGCTATGCACCCTGTTCTCAGTTTTATTAATTTACGACTCTTAATGTCCATACTTCTTTTAGTTTCAATTTTTGCAACCATTTTAAAACTACATACTTAAGACATTTATCATGAAAATCCTATACAAAGAATGGAACATTCATTATTAATTTTATCATAAATGTCTTTGATAAAAATATTCACCGAATTCAATAGCAGATATCTCAAATTTATGTAATGATTTAAGAAAATTATGCATATAATTTACATGTGATGTAGTCAAGCCTATACTCAGAAGGGGGGGAATGAGAGGAATAATTGTACAAGGGCCAGGACTGTTGAGCTCCCACCAAAATTTCTTTCAAAAAATATAGTGTTTATTAATTAGTTTTTTTTTTTAAATCGCAGAGAATTTCTTAATATATTCTATATAAAAACTACAATTTTGTATAAGGGGTCTTCAAAACAAAATAAGAAAATAATACTTTTGGTGCTTAAAAGCCAACACTAAATTTTGTCCTGGGGCCTGTAAAATCTGTGTTCAGTCTCGGATGTAGTTTTTTTTTCTTCCTTTGCTGCACTACAGCTTTTTGTGGGCCAAATACAGACTTACATCAAGGGGTTGTGGGAGAAATCGGGTAGTAACTGGTCTTCACAGGAGAACTGAAGTCATCAAAACGTAGCAGATCCGTGCTATTATTGTACTAAATACTTATTGCTTGTTAAGGTAGGATGAACTAGACTAAATGAGCTGAACTAAAAATAATTTCTGTGACTGCAATGATCGATATATGAGGCTAGTTTAACCCACCGATGACTCTACAGATAAAAAGTTGTATTTTAACTTGCAGTCTTTGCATAACAAAAGTGGTTTTTCAATGTAGTTAAATAGGGAAAGAGTGTAGAGGGGGAAAACATTCTCTCAATTTTGCCCATTTGTTAAACCGTCAGCGGGTTAAAAACAAAAGAACATTAGAGAATGGATATAGTTAAACAAACTTATCAACACAGAAGCAATGAATTAAGTAGTAACAACACACCAAAATGCTAAATTTTCTTCTGGATTAGTAAAATGTAATTTGATGTTTGTACACAAAAAAAANAAAAAAAAAAAAAAAAAAAAAAAAAAAAAAAAAAAAAAAAAAAAAAAAAGACTAATTTCTACACAATCTAAGTACCTAGTCCCACCCCACTCTCCCATATTTATATATATAATTGAAAATTAGAAGGGTACACATATGAAAAGCTAAAGCACTTATTTCATAAAATATTGTTTCACAAATATAACATATAAATGGCATAACAGATAAATATTTAAGATGCACAAAACTCATAATCATTATAGAATGTTTTGTGATACTTGTGACAATGGTAGATCACTTTCTTTGAATTTATTAAATTATTTAATTACTGAAATCTATTTTTTTTTTTTTTTTTTTTTTTTTTTTTTTTTTTTTTTTTTTTTTTTTTTTTTGCTTCCTACCTTTTGGAGATTCTTACAGAAAAAAAAGGCAAGTTGAGACAACAGTATAAAATTATTATTTAAGTTTTTATAGTTTGTTTATTCATTTTTTCAGAGTTTGAATTATAAAACATGAAACAAAACAAATAAAAAATTAGTAGTAAAATAATTTAAATTTTTAATTTATTAGATAAATATTTTAATGCCAAGTAAAATTAAAAAATCTTATTTAAATAGATTAGAAAAACTTTTACTATTTGATGTAAATGATTACATAACCTTTAACTGTTTTCTTTCCAATATGTAATTTATTTATTTTTTAATTAATAGCAAAATAATGCCACAAGAATAAAAGCTTCCAATTCTCTGATAAAAAAATGTATCTTCTATCTGTTGTACTATATAATTGACTATACATTGAATTGCTGGTAGAAACAGAACATGAAGCAGGCAATTAAAATAGGTTTTATAAGTGTGACAATGCTACAAAATTCAGAAGGGAAAAAAATTAGATTAAGTCCATTTCTAAATATTTTTTTTCTTTATAATAGAATATTTATTTATTCTGTAAGCTGCTAAGCAAAAGTAATAACAAAACTAACAAAATTAAAGCAATAATAAAAACATATGTTTATCAAAATAATTATTCTAAAGCTAAAAACCTGAATTTATCATGAAGCGGAGTAGAGGATATCTATATCAATAGAATTTCAAGATCTTCATTAACTGCCAAACATAAAATATAACAGAAAAGTCATTAAAGCACAACTTTCCCATTCTGTTCACATTAAAATAAGTTTCGTTTAAATACTCTTGATAAGCTTTCGTCATTTGATAAATCTCTTTTGAGATTACAAACAGGAAAAATAGTATAAAATACTATATGTATAGTATGAAATACTTAGTAACTAGCTATTAAATTTTTACAAATAAGATAGCGTGTTTAAGTTACTAAAACTAAATAAGTATCAGAAAAAAATTCATTTTCGGAACACGAAAACGAAACTGAACAAAAAAAGTATTCGCTGTCATAGCTTTTGAATGGATAAAATTTAATAGACTCATAGAATTTTCAAGGAATGTAGTATCGCAGCAAATTTTTCATATTAATGAATGTAAAACTGAAAGAACGCTGTGAGCAGAATTAGAAAGTTTTCATTTTGCAATAATAGATTAAAAGGAGGATTTTTACTTTCACTTGTAATCTTTAAATTTCTCAAAAAATGCTGAAATTTGATTGGCTGTAAAAGCTCATAGGCAAAATGAAAGCAGCAGCTAAAGCATAGTAAATAAATTAGTATAAATAGACATTGTTCGTTCATACTATGATGTAAAATGTTCGTTCATGAGCGACTCACTCAAAACGTAAACAACTCGCACAGCTTGTAAAATGAATTGCGTATGACTCTTGAGGACAATAGATTTGTGAAATTAAAGATCAAACGAGTTATTAAAATCAATGGATGACGACCAGTTTGATGATGAACCGTATCCTTTTCAAATTCAACCTTCTGTCCCTCCTGCTCGAACTGGACATGTCGCTGTATCATTTGAAAAATACATGTTAGTTTGGGGAGGTTATACAGTAAGTTTTTTTTTTTTTTTTAATGTTTCATTGCGGTTCATTTTTAAAATGTACACAAAGCAGTAAATTTATTTTTATTCTTGTAATAAAGATTGCGGAAAGAGAATTTTGTATTTAAAAAGTTTTATTGGCTCATTTACATCGCAGATAAGAATGGCCCACTTTATTCACAAGTTTCACATGAGTACTTTAAATGTTTTAAATTCAAAAAACTGCTTTAAATGTGCTTTAATAGTACTGTAAGATTCTTGGGTCCTTTTTATACTTCTTCTCGCTGACTGATCATGTTCTTATTTATTTATTATTTTGTTTCTTGGACGTTAATATCACGTTAAAATATAAACATAATCTTTGTTCTTTCTTTTTATTATCTTCTTTCAGAGCCTGACTAAGGCAGGGGCATACTGGGCTGTTGCCTCAGGATCTTACATCAGAGGGGGGGGGATTCTTTTTTTTTCTAAGCAAAGTATCAGTACAATGTAAAATCCGTCAGTTTTATGTTAGCCTCTTCATTAATCCATATTTCGTTAATCCATGGCTTTCAAGGGCTGAATTCAACTTAAATTTCACAATTACAATGAACAAATTTGGCCAATCAAAAGCCTGTATTTTTAGGTATGGCAAAATGTGATATGTTTACAAAAATATGGGCTTCTAATTGGTTTACTTAAAGCATTGTAATTACGAAAATTTAGCTGAATTCCGCTCTATAATCAGCAAGGATCTGAATTTTTCGCCGGTAGATGAGAAAGTTAACAATCAGAAAACTGCATTCGGCATGACAGACGTAGAATTATCAGAAAATCAATAAAATGGACAGAAAGATATTTAGTTTGACCATTAGAGCTGGTGAAGGACTTTATAGCTAATTTGTAATTATAGGTTATCAATATTCTTGTTATACATAATGAGGTGAAAAATTTAGATTCCTCCATTAAGTTCAGCTCTTCATTACTCAAATAAGTGAAGCAGAGAGGGGCCCCCAAAGAATTATTTGCCCTGGGCCCCAATTGGGATATGCTGAGACCTGCCTTCATTCTCTTCTAAAACATAATAAACTTTTTTTCTTTTTTTTTAGGAGAATCCAGAGCTTTTAACAAATACTTATTTTAGTGGTGCAGAGATATGGATATACAGTTGTGTTTCAGAAAAATGGTACTTTATATCTTAAATCTCTTTTGTTTCTTAAATCTCTATTCTTTAAATCTTGTTCTTTAAATCTCTTAAATCTTTGTTTAATTTTTTATGTATAAATTTAATCATGCAATTGCAGGTACCTAAAACCTTGTCTCTCATACCAGTACCCACCTGGCATGTCTGGCTCTGCCGCTGTTGTTATTGATGATTGCCTTTACATATTTGGAGGCTATGGTTATGATGGAGAAGGATGTACAAATAAATTATATAGGCTAGATTTAGAAACGTTCTTTTGGGAGCAGTTGAAGCCGGAGGGGTCATTACCTACCCCTGTTGACAAAATGGCTGGTTGGGAATATAATAGGAAGTAAGCATGTAAATAACTATATTGTGTATAAAGTTCTGAGCTAAATGTATAACTCATTAGACAGAACGGAAGTTGATGTTTAAGCATGTGTATTAAAATCTATACGATTGTCTTTCTATGGGACCTTAAAAAACTTATTACCCCAGTACTTTTACGTGGCATATATATATGTAAGGTTCACACCAGCAATTAAAATTAAGTTGTCCAAAGACTTAATATCAAGAAAAAAATTGAAGTTCAGAATTACCTAATTCATGTTATAGTAGACATCAAAATTATTAATTGCCATATATAAAACCCTTTAACTAATGAGATTCATTACCCTATAATGATTGAAGATTAGTACAGTTGAACCTGTTTATCTCGAACCTCTTTATCCTGAAAGCCTCTATATCTGAAAATTTCGAAAACTCCCTACATTTACTGTCTAAAATCAATGTATTTTCCATGTTTATGTCGAAATTTTTTCTTCTAAAACTCCGTTTCTTGAATTTCTAATAATAGAGCACAACTGCCGAAACTTTTTTTATCAGTAGAACTTGCAGACAGAGATGAATTTCCTAAACCCACAGGAAGAAGAAATGAAAAGGTTGGGGGTGTTTCTTGGAATTTCAATCGCTATCCCTGGAATTTCTTAACTAGAAATGAATACAATGATTCTGGTAGTAAGTGAGTGGTTGATAAATAGGACGAAGTGACCACCAGGGGTTAGCTTTTCAGCATAAATAAGAGAGCTAGGAATAGAAATTCATTTTCACCTCAAAATTGCAACCAATCGATCAAAGGATAATTAGGGGTTTTAAAGTGAACTATAGAAAACAGTTGGTATGCCATCAATGAAAAAAGTTCCCTTTCAAAAATAAAGATGTTAGATGCTATCAGAATTACTGTTTTTTACCTGGAGAAATCTGTCTCTAAAAGCTATCCAAAATGGTTTAAAAAAGGCTAAATAGCTGTGAAGATCATAAACAAGAGATTGATGGCATCAGTAAAGAGGAAGAAACTGGTGACGCTGGAAGTGCAGTGCCAGATTGTGCTCCGGAAAAAATCCGGATTTTTCACTAATAGTGATCCGGAAGTTTCCGGAGATAGAAGATACAGACGTTTCAAAAAATCATTGATCACAGAAGTTTCCGGAAATCAAATTTTCAAAGGTGGAACTTAAAAACACAGTTTATTTTATTTGTTTGTAAGGGAGAGCCAGAGAGATACTTTATAAGCTTGTATTCATGATTAATATTCATTTTTTTTAATCTGTAAATAGTTGTTATGATCATAAACTCAAGAAAGAAAGACATATTTGTAAATTTTAATTACTTCTCCAGGTCATCATAGGTATGTGTAAAATTTTAAATATATTTTAAGTAAACAAAGAAATATTAAGAAAAAGAAAAGAAAAAAAAAATTGTTTAAAATTTTTCAATTTAAACAGTTTTTTTTTTTTTTTTTAACTGGCGAAATTTTCCGGAATTTTGACTTGGGCTCACAATCACCCCTGGGAATGCAATAAAGTCTGGATTTAATGTTGACATTAATTTTAGACTTTTTCAAATGGGCAACTGCCTGGCAATATGCGGAATATTGATAGATGCGGCGGAAATCATAGATAATATCAAAGGAATATCAGATGAAGAAGCTGACTATCATATTGATGAATCAAAAGTAGATGCAAAAGAAGTAGAATAAGCTGTAAAACTCTTATAAACTATTCTTGAATCTCAGGAAAATGTTGGCTATAAAGGAATTTTCAGCTCTTTCTAACCTTAAAGTAACAAAGAAGGTAATTAAAGAAACAAAGAAGGTTAGACATAAAAAATATTTGAAAATTTATTTTCAGTGTTAAATGTATGTTAAAAAAAATACTATGTAAATAGATGTATGTGGTATAATTAATTTACAGAAATGCATATATAAAAATGTAGGCATTTCTATAGGCATAGGCTACTAAAAACAATTGAAGCACTTTTAATAAATTTTCTTAATTAAATTTAATGTATTTAAAATACCTGTATAACTCGAAACCTCTTTTTCTCAAATTTTTCGCCTTTCCTGTGAGATTCAAGATAAGCAGGTTCGACTATATTTATTAAAATTAAGTAAAAAATTTAAAATAATATTTGCAGATAAATTCAACATTAAGATTTAAATACTGAAACCAAATGAATAAATAAATGAGGAATACAGAAAAAATAAAAAGTAACAATATATATTTTTCTTACAAATTTAAGAGCTTTTTTTTTCTTACTTTAAAATGTGTTACTCTTTTTCATTATAATTTGGATTTAATAAAACATAGATAAACGAAATTTTTCAGTCGATCCAGAAAACCTGAAAATTTTTTCTCTATTATAGTATATTTAAAATTAATTATCTAAAAATTATAACATTTTTAATAAAGTCTAATCTAAATGAGCAAAACATATTATTTTATTGATGAACTGTCAGTACATAAATGTAAAACAAAACATGGAAATTTGAAATTTCAGCATTTAAATTTAAAAATTCTTACATCAGGCACTTTCTGTTTGTGTGTTTGAATACCACGCATTTGAATTAATTACACATAGAATCGTAAAACTAGTGCAAATTTTTTAATGCGCAGAATTCTTTGCAAAAAAAAACTCTTTTTCTTTACAATTTTGTAAATTCCAAATGTATTTCAAGGCGACAAGTTTGTTCTTCATGCCCATGATTTTAGTGACATTTGTAGAACTTTTGACAACAATTATACATTCACATGTGTTATACATACACATATGTATAAACCCCATACATACGTGTGTATATATATATTTGTATATAAGGTGCCACACTGTAATTTTCATTTGATTAAGGTAATACTGAACTCACTTGTATGCTAACTTATATAAGTTATTGGATTTTTAAATTGGGAAGGACATATTTAAGTATATATGTTTTCATTGAATTAAAAATTCCATATTTAATGTAAGTTTAACATGGGTCCATTTTTACGTATGGAATGTGTTTCTTTCCTCCTTGATTCATAACAAATCTTTATCGTAAGTAAAAGTTAAGTGATATGGAAAGTTAAGTGATATGGACTTTTGTGGTAAAAATTTTGAAGCTGATAGTATTTAAGAGTTAATTAAAAGAAAATTCTATTATTATTGTCCCACACTTTTTTTATTCATTGCAATTTCAGTTTTTTATTTATTTATCTTTAAAAAAAGGTTAAGTGTAAACTATTATTGTTTTTTCTTACGTTATTACTGCAATATTTTAAAGGTGTTGATTCTGATAATTTTATATTTATTAAAGCGTGGTAAAGTAATATAGAAACCTGAGATTTTTCAGAGTCTGAAATGTTCGCCTCTACATTTCCTGTGCTTTAAAAAAAATATTATATTAGTAAGTTTAAGAAAGTTTAAGATTTTTTTATTATTATTTAGAAAGAATATATTTTTGACATTATTGTTAATGGATTTTAAGTTTATTATTTAAGAAAATGAAATTATTTAAATTGTTGAATTTATTTTTTAAATAAATTGTCTATAACCTTTTAAACTAATCCAATTTATAAAATATTTATTTCTTTAAAATGTGATTTATTCTAAGCTGGAATATTATATAAATTGACCTGGAGAAGTCAGGAAAATATTTCTTCTTTCTGAGTATGATCCCTGGTATTTCCTACCAGCTATAATTTATTTACTAGCATATACAAGGCAATACATAAATTTATATACAGAATAACATGTAGAAGATCTATGGAAATACAAAATATATACAGAATAAAAAATATATATACTGAGTAACTTATATACAAATACAAAATAACTTATTAGTATTTAATACATAAATTTGATGTGCAGAGATAGTAATATAGATAAGTTTATCATTTAAAACTTATCTTGTGAATAATAGTAATAGGCCTGTTTGCTTTGCAGATTTTATATATTTGGAGGTTTCGGGGATCCAGCATCACACGAATTCCAATTTGTGTTCTATCATTTATTATATGTAAGTATTGTGTAATAAAAATAACCTAATGAATTTATTTTTTTTTTCAGACATGCACAGAACATTTTATGTATGTTATGTTATTCACATTTTGTTCTAATTTTATACTGTTTTTTAAATCTATGAATATTAAGAAATCTACTGAACATAATCTGTTATTAATGTAATAATTAAACCTCATTTATTATAAGTATGTAATATTTTAATTATGTTGTTATTCTTCTTCTAATTTTGTTCTTCTATTGACCCTAATAATTAAGTTAAATAAATTTTTTATCACTATATTTTGTGCAGTTAAAACTAATTATCTTCTTGGAGATTTCTTTTTTTAGTATTTTAATAGTAGCATTTCTCTTTTTATTCTGATCTACAAATAGTTAGAATCAAAGTATCTATATAATTTTTGAATGTTTATCTCCATGGACAAATAATGTGCCCTGACCATACTTATTAAAAATTCTGTAATTTCTCCTGCCTCGAATATCCTCTAGAACCTCAAATACAGTTCTTAAATTTTTAAAAATTGTTCTTTTTCAAGTACTATTGAACCATTTTTATTTTTTTCCAAATTTTAAGTATTTGCCTTAAAAAAAAACTTCTTAAATTAATATTGTGTAACAAATTATAATTCTATTTTTGCCACTAATCTCTATACTAACTGGATTGTGTGTAGGGAGCAATCTGAACGAGTGAAGTAAATCTCAGCAACATTGCTCAGTTAACTCGCATTTAGGCTTAGTTTATGCTTTTAGCATTAAAGTCTATGGTGTTGACTGTATTCTTGTAAAAATTATTTTAAAATAACCAAACTACTCTAAATGTAAAAAGAGAAGGTTTTAAGTTAATTTCTTTATTAGGTTTCCAAATATTTACACTATTAAAGGAAATATTTATGTGCTTGTTTTTATTTAATAAAAGAAATACAATTTGGCTTATTTTCTTCTGGCGTTATCGCGCCAAGTGCATTCAAGGGTTTGACTTCAATCGACTTTCTCCCTCTTTTATAGGTTATTGAACAGAAGAAAACTAATTTTATATTCAGGCTGTGTGGTTAAATTCTGTTACAAATTTTCTGCTTTGTTTTAAAATAGTGTAGTTGAATGACAAAAATATATATATAGATATTGAATTTCTTAGATATGACATACGTATTTATATTTAGTAAAAAAAGATATTATTAACACAGTTTTGCAAACCTTCTTAACCTTAAACAAATTACCTTCTCTTTTTTTTATTTCTTTTGAAGAATATAATTTAATTAAACCAAATAACTTTTGAAAAATATAATTATCGAGGTAATTAAATAATTTAATTCACTGCAGAGCTCAATATTTATATTTTATGCATAATTGATTGAAATTTATCAGCTCACAAGCAAAAAATTTGGAGTAATTAATATTTTAGTTGTTGAATTAAATTTTTTTCTAAATTTATAAGATTTTCTTAAGATTTGACTGCATTAAATGATTTAAAAGAAAACTGAATTCTAATTATAAGTTTTAAAACTTTATGTACAAAATTATGTTCAACTTTTTTTCGTAATAAAAGTTTCTCTTTTTTGAAGACTGAAAGGGACTGATTATTAAGCCACATATTTTAAGTGAAGAAAAATGATATACCTGACCATAAACATGAAAAACAGTTAGTATTAAATCAAAAATTTTGCTGTACTGAAACATGAGACCAAGAAAAAAGCAATAGTGTTTAAATTACGGGTATCCTGTGCTCCCACTCTACTCCATTCTTCGCCAATGGCGGCTACACACATGTAGCATTGAATCAGCAATCCAGTTACATATAGAGATCAGTGATTTTTACTTGTGTTTGATAAACTATAATTGTCAGCTATCAAATTTTGTTTAAACAATTCATGATGATTAACACACTGTGATTACAAAAAGGAATAAGTTACTTTGTAAATGATAAAAATAAACAGCAAAACATGTTTATTAAAATTGTACATTTTTTTACTATTATATTTATTCAATTTTTTTCTTTCCTTCAAAACAGGCAAACTTTTTGGTTATGCTATTGTAAAAGTAAGCCTTTTCAAACACAAGTAGAAAGCACAAACATAATGTTCCAAATTCATAGCTCTAAGTAAAAGTATGCTAATTAGTATAAATATTTAAGTTATGATTGTAAGCAGTTTTTAGTATTCATTTAAGATCAACAAACAAGGAATGAGAAATTTTTATTTTAATTAATGAATATGAATTCTATCCTATAATTTAAAAGGATCTTAAAATTCAGTTTCTCTTGATACATTATATTTTACACTGTTATATTTTCACATACATCACAATTTTACGTATATGTGTAATGTTTTTCTTTTAAACTTTGTATTTAATATATTTTTTTTTGCAAAGCTTAAATCTTAATTATTTTTTGTTATATTATTTTAATTTGTAAATTTGTTTTTATAGAGAGGATGGACTAACCAGTTTTTTGAATATGATCCAAAAACAAATAGATGGACCAGTCCAAAATGTACTGTAAGTATTTAAATAAAATCTATTATTCATACACAATAGTTTATCTTTATTAAAAGTCAGAAAGCACGTTTTGTAAAGTTTTAAATACGATGTTAAAAACCATGTAAGTATTAAAGTTTCCCTTAAACTAAATTAATACTCCATGATTTAAGTATTGGCTACAAATAGATCTTCCTGGTAGCAGAATTAACAGTCTCGATCTACAGCATAAAAACAAATTTATCTGTTACTCCAAAGCAGTCAGAAATTATTATTGTAAAAAAGCAGTTTAATAAATGCAGATATATAGATATAATTACAATTATTGTAGACATAATTTTATTGATATAAAAAATGTGTGTATTGTTATTTTATTTTTCTCTAATTATATTTTGTATTGTTAGAGAATAAATATCTCTGATCAAGAGAAGATACATCTGTGTATATTATGCCTAATAAAGAAATCATAGTGAAGAAATATTTATATTAAGGATAAACTTGCATATAATATTGAGATAAAAAAATATTTATTACAAGGGGCTAAATTAATCTTCAGCACAGGCTGCCATGCTGGAAAGTTTCTTTTACCAGGAAGGATTGCAGAAAAAATCAGGGAATTTAAATAAAATAGCCATAAGCTATGGGAATTAATTTGAGTTACAAATAACTATAAATCCAGTAATTTTTTAAACATAACATTGGTTTATCATAATTTTATTTTTTGATTATTTATTTCCAACTCTAATAAAAAGTATTATAAATGTTTTTAAAATGTATCTTAAGTATGAAAATGAAACGCAACCAACTGATAAAGTAATTTAAAAAATTCATGCCATTCACTGAAAATATCAGGTAAATTTGATAAAATCAATGTGAAAAAGTTGAGGAATTTTTTTTTCGGGTGATTGTGACCTATCTGATAAATAATAAAGCAAAAGGCTGTTGAGAAATATTATTAAATATTGGTATTTAATACATCATAAAATTTATTTCGTGAAAAATAATTCAGTTTCATTTGCTTAAATTTTCTGAAATTAAATTTTGTAGTTTCATTTTAAGTGAACTACACTAAAAGTTAACAAAATAAAGTTTCTAATTTAAATGTAGTTTTTATTTTAAAATATATTTTAAGAAAAAAATTTAGATATGTTTATTTCAATCATTTGAAACCATTCAAACTTACTATACAAAGTTTTATGGTTACTAGAAGAGTAACTACGTTATATCTTCTAGATAACTATATATTTTGTGATTTATTAATGTAATAGTATTAAAATTGCAATGAATTAGAGGATTGATTTTAAACTTCTATTTAAAATTAAGTATCAATAAAAAAATATACTTCTATTTCAATATAGTTTAATTGCAATAAGTCCTGTGATTACATTTGGAAATAAAATTATTTTAATTAATTTCAGGGTTACAGAATTAGGTCCATTTAAGGTGTTTATAGATTGTAAATCACACTTATCCTGTCAAAAACAACCTTGATGTATATGCAAATGCAGACAGTTTAAATATTAAGGAGGCACTAAAAAATTTAAGATGTTGAAAATCATAAAATTTTAACCATCTAAATAATAAACATTTTTTTATTCCGATATTTAACTACACTGGTTATCATAAATTAAGGAAAAATCACAAAAATAGCGATAACTCTTTCAAAAGTAAGCCAAACCGTGCAAANAACCATCTAAATAATAAACATTTTTTTATTCCGATATTTAATTATATACAATAAGCTATGAAATTTACTATTATTATTGACATGAAATTCTATATTTTCCTTTCATAATTAAACAATTTCTGCATTATTAGGGTGAACTTCCATGTGCACGTGCTGCTCATGCTGCTACAGTTATGAAAGATAAAGTGTATGTGTTTGGTGGTAGACATGATGCACATAGATTGAATGACTTACATTGTTTAGATATGACAACAATGCGCTGGAGTGGAGAGTAAGTCTTCAAATATAATTTTATACAGTGTGAAAATTCAAAACTCATGCTCCTAAAATCTGTAAATGTTTCTATTAACTTCATATGTAAGGCTTTTTTTTATTAGTTTCCTCTGAAAATAATTATGTATTACCCTGATTTTTTAAAGGGATGTAACAAGTAACGATTTGCTGAATAGCTGAATAACAGATATTCAGGTTAAAAAAAATCCGTCGAACATTCGGCGACTAAGTGGCAACATTTTTTAAAAATAAAAAAATCATTTATAAATATTATTGCTTATATGAAAATAAGTTTAGTCATTATTGAAAAATATTCAAAATTTAGCTATATTAATGATGTGGGGTAAAGGCGAAAAAACTGTAATACAGAAACAGAAATCAGAAAACCAAAAAAAAAAACGGAACGAAATTCGATGAATTTTCCCGCCATTTTTTTTTTTTTTTTAATATTTTTTCCTCATATGATTTTAGGATTTTTCGTTCTTTTTTGAAAGATATTTACTTTACCATCATTTTGGAAATAATCATTAGTGTATTACTTCATCGTTTTTTTCTTCTTTTTAAGATTATTTCCTCTTTTTTTTCAGTTGGGTTTAACAATAAAAAAAGCGGCTTTTTGTAGCGATTCAGAAAACCGGAAAAATCAGTTATCCGGGATATCGATGGTCCTGATTGTTCCGGATAATCGGTTCCCTACTGTATAAATATTTAAGATAATAGTTTATAATTAAGATAATTATAGAAAAATTTACAATAAAAAAAACTTACTAACAGCTATTAAAAAAAAAACTTAAGTTGAAAAAAAAATATCCCCTTAATTCTAAAAACAAAACTTTTATGCTAAAATAATATTTTCGAAAAAAAAGACACTCTTTAAAATTCTGCACTATCATTAGAATGCCGATAAAAAAAAACATTGTATACAAAAGCAAAGCAGAAAAAATAAAAATCAATCCCAATTTTTGAAAGAAAATTTTTAAGCTAAACATTTCAGTTTTCCAATTGCTGTATCTTCAAGAAAAAGTTAAGATTACAGTCTAATGAAATTGTCTATTGAAAATAAGTTTTTGAAAAAGAAAAAGCTAGATAGAAACCAGTATAAAAATCTTAAATTTTTAAATGAAACATTTAACTTTTTCACCTTGTCGTATTTTTAGAAAAAGTGACCATAACAAAATAATGTTCATTAGAAACACTCTTTGATAACATAATGATAAAATCGCTAATAAAAAGAAAAGTTAATAAAAGAGATCAATTTTATAAAGAGAAACAGAAAAAGAATAGTTCTTAGTTCTGAAATATAACTTAAACATTGAGAAACGCAGTTTTCTATGTTATTATTATTTGTATTAATTATCTCACTTAATTATCTACCCTACAAGAAAAAAGTGACAATAAAAGGAAAAGAAGTCTATTAAAAATCTCTGTTATCATGCTTCACTTTAGTTAAACTTAAAGTAGTGAAAGAACAATGAAATTATCTTGCTTTAAAATAATTGAAAAGGACGAAAAAATCAGCATTACAAAACTTGTAGTTCTGTATATAGTTTAAATTCTTCAAATTTCTATTGTTCATGCGTATTTCAGAACATAAATTAAGAGTTTTTTTATAACAAATGTGTCAAAACTATTTCTAATAGTGTATAGTAAAAAATACAATTTGAGATTATTCTTTCTATTGAAATTAACTCTAATAAAAAAAAACTTAGTTGAAAAATAATTTTCCAGATAATACTTTGCCGAATATATGTATAAATATTTGGCTAAAGGGAAAAATACTGAATAGGTGCTCAATATTTGTTATATCCCTAATTTTTAAGACATCTTGCTGTGTATCTTCAGTATCGTCACTAAAAAGAAAATGTTATTAACCTAATTTTTAAACCATTTTGCTAATATTTTCTTTTAAGAAAATCTGCCTACTCCATTATTTGATATAGTTTCTATTTTTTTCATTTTGTCCTAAATGGAAATAAGTTTATTCAATGAAAATTGCATTGAAATTTAAAACAAATCTTATTTAATTTAAATTTAAAAGAAAATAATGTTTTGTTTAACTTGTTTTTTTTTTATTTATTTATACATATATGTGTATATTTTGAATGTTAATAAATATATAGTTTATCATTCATATCTTTATTAAATCTATTAAAATTTCCCCCGTAAAAAAAAGTTGAAAATAATTTTCCTTGCTGAATATTTGGTCAAATATTCAGCAAAGGGATCAAATACTGAATAGTGGCCAAATATTCATTATATCCCTAATTACTAAGACAATTTGCTGTGTTTCTTTAGTAAAAAGAAAATGATATTAACCTAATTTTTAAACTGTTTTGCTAATACTATTTCCTTTAAAAAAAATCTACCTACGCCATTATTTGATATAGTTTCTGTTTTCTTATTTTATCTTAAATGGAGAAAAAGTTTATTCAACAAATGAAGTTTGAAATAAATCATATTTAATGTAAAATTTGAATTTTAAAGAAAATAATAATTTTTTTTAACTTGTTTTTTTAATTTATTTACTTATACATATATGTATATATTTTGAATGTTAGGAAATATATAGTTTATCGTTCACACATTTTATTAACATTTTAGATTATCAATTAAAGGCCCTGTTCCCCAAGGCAGGTCTTGGCACAGTTTAACTGCATTAGCTCATGGGTATTTAATATTATATGGAGGTTTTAGTCAAAATAATGTAGCTTTAAGTAAGTATCAATCTAAATAATGCTTCAACTTTATTTATTATGAATTTCTTAAGTTTGTTAAACTATATGTATCTCTGTTCGAAGAAAAAAATTCCATCAGAGGCTGTTCAAATGTTACATTAACATGTAACTGAGAGGTGAATTGTTGTTTCCTCACACTAGGAAGGGAATATCCGAGCAATGATTAAATGAAACACTGAATGTCAATTATTCAGGGGGAAAAATATCTATTAAATTGCAAAAGTAATTAAATTGCTGCAAAAAAATACATTTAGTTTAGAATTATCTTACATGGCATTCAATAAGAAAGTTTGTTATTTTATTTGTGGGTAAAAGTCCAAAATCACCAAAATTATGCTTGCGTAATATTTGGACAACCCCTGGGTACAACTTGAACTAGAGCCGGATTTAGATCTTGTCTAAGAAGTAAACACGGCTAGTCACAATTTTTTTCCATATTCACATAACCATGCTGTTGGTCTGAAAATCATAGATCCTTGACCTCCAATACTTTAAGAAAGATGTAACCAGTCCCCTTCGCTAACAACTTTTTAATGGGCCTTCACTCATTGTAACAAATATGTAACAGATAATATGTTACTCTTATCTTTTTAATGAACTAGTTTCATAATTATTTCATATTACGTTGATTAACTGTAAGGAAGCAGCTCACGTATGTAAATTACAGTAGAACCTCAGTGATCGCGACATTATAGCGTTTTGATGTATTAAATCCTCACTTAAAAGTTTCAAAAAAATAATTTCAACCTACCGGGACAAATCAGCAATTAAAAAATATGTAGATATGATCTATTTGTTAGCTTATTTAGCTTTTAAATGTTTAAGTAGTTTAATTTTTAGAAAATATTTCTAACTTTAATTGTTGTTTTTCCACCACTTTGTAAAATCTTTTTAAGTGACTGTACAAGTTGGCAGGTATGCACATTCGTCCAAATTAGTCAGCTAAATTTTACTTTGGGAAGAATTCCACTGAGTTATAGTTTTTTAAGAACAAATTTAAGTTCTCATAATATGAAATTCCTCTAACACCAACATTTAAGTACTGCTGCCTACATAATAATATGTGAACAAATTATTTACCCTCTGGTCTGCAATTTTCCACTTTTTAATTACTTTCCTTTTCTGTTATTCTCTGTGTAAGTAAAAAATAAGGAATATTCAAATACAAAAGTTTAATAAATAAATACCAAATTTTTATTTTGTGTTTGAATTGTACACTTAATTTTGTACTTTTTCTTTTACTTATATGTTGTTAGTACAATTCATATACAATTTCTTTTGTCACTTTTCCTTTTTTATTTAATTTCTTTTGGTCTCTTTTCCTTTTTCATTTTATTTATTGAATTTATGTATCTAAATATTTGTGTGTATATGCATAAATATAATACTTTTACATATTAAATTTGTAATTGTAGATAAGGGTTGTTAAATAAAGCACAGTTATGTAATTTATTAAAAATAAAACCTGAGTCCTGGAAAGTATGACTCTTCACACTCAAGTGCATAGATAAAAAGGAGAAAGATTTAACAGGGTGCACAGAGCTTTTAAAAAGTTCTTAAAGGCTTTATTTTCATTTTTTAAAAACCCTCAAAGATGCTTTTTTCATTGTGTGTTTGCAAAAAAAACTTCAATTTCTCTTTTCCAAAATGAGCTTTTTTCTTTATCATGTCTATTGTTACCATGAATTACACAAAAAACGTAGTTTTTACAATATTCCGATCAACGTTTTCACAATTCCTTCAACCATAATTCATTTCAGTACAACTTTAACTGCATCGTATGTTTAAAAGTGCCAAAAATTTTAGGTGTTAGATGAATTACTAATGGGTTAACTTGTACACTGAGCTGGGTTTAGTGGTAAGCATTGTTGCATTCATACATGCAATTTTGTTAGTGTGCTCTACAATTCTTTTTCATATTTGTGTAAAATTTTATTACATATTTGTATGAAGTATTATGAACTAATTGATACTGGTTAATAATGTTACAGTGCTATAAAAATTTCCCATTTACTGATTTGAAACTATTATAAGGTAGTATTGATAAAATTATTTAATACTTTCTGTTTTAATAATTTTAAAATTAAAAATAATATACTTTTTTGTACTTTTGCTATAAAATTTGCTTTATTAATTATTATAAGGAAATTATACTTTCTTTAGTTAGCTTTTTTTTAAACTAGGCTATATGTACGCTGTTTTAAAAAATGTCCTGTTTTGATCCTGAGTTTTTTTTTTTTTTTAATTTCATTGGCCCACTACAAAGCCTTGTGTTGTCAATTTGGATTTTACAATATAACTGATCAGAGGATCATTCACTTATTAATTTTAATAAACGTAAACGTCTTTCATATTTAGATTAATAGTTTTATATGTCAATTGTGTTATAATCTCAATTTTAACTAGTTATTACTAATATTGTATTGTTATATTGTTGCAAATATTCAATTGCAACTAGATAATTTTTTTAAAAAATATTTCAGAAAGTTATATTATCTGATCTGCTAGTGATATATAAATATATATTCTGGTTAAAAGTCTATAAAACTTGCTATATTAATAAGTAATTAATTTGTTGCACGCTTCAAAATTGTTTTTTAAGAACATAAATATTATTATAATTTTTTTTTGTTGCATTTGTATGCATATTCAAGCATGTAAAATGAATGAAAATGCTGTGGCTTTCTTTAGAGCCTACATGTAATACTAAAAGTTATCAAAAAATTCCACATCAAATTTTTGCATTAATTTAAAAATAATAATTTAAATGAAAAAAGTTTACGTTTCAAACATAAAAAAAAAATAATTCTTAAATAATAACAATTTTCAAATGTTATTCATATTTTAAAAAAATTTGTTGCATTACCTAATTTAATTAAAAATAATGAATTTTCATTTTTAAATTCTAGCAACGGATTTATTTAATTGATAAAAGTTTTTGAGCTTGAATAAGAATTATAAATAGTTTTAAAATTTTCGATGTTATATTAAGAAACATTTTTTTAACATCTGTTTCATTTAGATAATAATTGTAGAAAGAATTTTTTTATTATTCTAGCATCCTCTTTGTGTACCTTAATTTACTCTTGTTTGTTTTTAATTAGTTCTCTTTTATTTTTCCTATTCATTTTTTATTTAGGTGATTGCTGGATGTTTGACACACATGCACAAATCTGGCAGCCAATAGATCTACCATTTAAAAAGCCTCGTTTATGGCATTGTGCTGTACTCAGTGTATATAATGAAGTATTAATTTATGGAGGGTGTTCATCAAATATTTTAGATGTAGACAGAACACCTGTAAGATTTTTTTTTCAACTAGTCATTAATTATAATTATTTTTTTTCTATAAATTAAGATTGCAAGTTTTAATTAATTTCTTTATTTTTGCAGGAACAAGCAAAAGACCTAATTGTCATCAGTATAATTCCAAAATCTCTCTTTAGGTGAGTGTTCGTTTAAAGTTTTTAATTTTTTTTTATTCCATTTTTAAATTTTATGTGTGTTTTACATACTAACTTGTTACTCTTGGTTATTGTTAGAATTTTAAACAGTGGTACAAATTTGTTATTGTTTATTTTTGGATTTATTGCTGTTTGATTATTACAGTACCCATATTCAGACGTCCGTTTAACGAAAGTGCCTTTTTTTCAGGTCATTTTTTAGCAATCAAAATAAATAATACTTTTTCCCTTTTAAATTTTTTTTTTCACTTTTGCAACCTGAAAAAGTATGCTGACATGAGAATTTTACCCTTCTTCGTGATTTTTACCAGACTTAGGATTTTTATTCGAATTTAATCCGATTTCCGCTACAGTAGGAGAAAAAATTTATTGTCGCCTAGACGAAATCTGGCATTTCACAACAGCGCTGAAAAAATCACATTTTTTCCTCATAAAAGGATTATTACTACTGAGAATCTCACTTAATTTCAAAGTGCACTGCATAAAAATTTCATATTGTGTAGAAATTGAAGATATGAGATGAAATTATCACGACTAAAGTGATCATTCAAAAGTGTGATTCCAAATTCGTGGATCGTAATAATATTATATTAAAAATGAAATTGAAATTTTAAAGACTATGTGGAAATCCCAAATTTTTGAAAATGTGATTGACAAAACAATGTGAACGATAAAGTTGTTGCAAATCGGGTGCATCAGAAAGTAATTCTACAAATGCGCAACTGGGAATTTTCCGTGTATAATATAGTATTAAAAAACTGTGAAAGTCAGGTGCAACAGCTGACAAAAATGCAATCGTAAATCTACATGGAATTCTGGGTGGTTAATCAACAATTTAGTGCAATTTGAAGTTTGTTGGACGAAATAATATGGTATTTAAACATTGGCATTTTAAAGACCATGTGGAAATCTGTAACAAAAACTGCAAAAATAGCGCAAACCGAATGGATCTTTTCGTTATTCATTGAAATTGACGTTAATTATTGTTAGTTATTTTTTATTGAATAAGGATTTTTTGATGTTAGTTTACCTTTTTTAAGACCTATTATCCAGAAAAATCTATTTTCTTGTCGAAGTCGCGGCGATTCCAGATATGGGACTTTCCACTATATTTATTATCATGCTAAATATCTTCTGTTATTTTATTAAAGCTAAAAACAATTTTAGAAGTTGCTTACCTTTACTTTTTTTGTAATTGTACTCAGATAATGAATAAGACTGAGTTGTGCTTGTGGTTTAACTTTTTCGCTTTCTGAGGTAATTGTTCAAAAAGGAAAATTTTCATTATCAAAGATGTGTTAATATTAAATGAATAAAACTCTAGGAATGATAGAACTTCAAATAAAAAAAATTTAACAAGTATTTATCGGCTGGTATATTCACAACAAAAAGAATTTATTTAGTGGTTTACTCACCTGTTAGTCATTGCAATGACCATGACTTCTTATGCACCAGGTTGTGCATCCATAACCCCTTGACTCAACAATTGTATGCAATGTATCAACGCAATGTATGAGGGAACTCACATTGTTACTCTTGGTTGCGTTGCTTACGGAGATAGAATTTGGAATTGATGGAGAATTTTAATTCTTTCAAAAGGAAGGAAATTTCCATGAACAGTCAAATACTTTTTTCTTTCACTTTCAATAAGATAATTTTCGAAAATGGAATTAGAAAAATTGTTAAATTCAAACTACGCTTGTATTAATAGATTTTAAGTTTTTTTAACATAAAAGCCAACAATTTTTTTAATATTTTGTTTTACACCTGAGAACTTGTCAAATCAGGCCTTGCAGTAAACAAGGTTAAATTTATTTTTAAAAGAGAGTGCTATGTCAAAATGCACAATTTTTATAGTTTTCTGGAAATTGTAGAAATGGTTATTTTTGTTGAAGAATATATACACGGTTTATAGTGAACGAAATGTTCGGTCCCGTGCTTTGCTATCCACGTATAATGTTATTTTTTGTGGATATTGTGAACTGAAAAAGTGAGGAAGTTGGATATTATGAACTTTTTTCTGTCTTCGACTGATTTTTTTTTATATAATTTTGAAATGTCTACTTCAAAACAGATACTTATACTAATTTTTAAAACCATCTATAGAGTGAAATGTAGCGATAAGCATTTTCTCTTGTTTACTTCTTTTATCACACTTTTCCATCCCTAATCAAATACCTATGAACTATAGATGTATGGACAATTCTTTCCTGCATCAGCTAAAGATAACTAATTTTTTTTTGTGCACAAGATGATGAGTAATAAAAAAATAAAAGCAAGTTAACACATTTTGTTATTACGTATTATTTTTCAGTCATTTTTTTATTTCATTTTATTGGTCATTTAAGTAATGTGTAATAAAAAGAAGTTCAGAACCATTAGTTAAAATTGTTTGGGGAACGGATATAGGGAACTCCCGGTTATAGTGAACCAAAATTTCGGTCCCTTCAGGGTTCACTATAGCGGGGTTTGACTGTATATATATTTCTCATTTAAGTGGCAAATTCAAATGCGTGATATAAAAAGGGTTTGACTCCTCTTAAAAATTTTATTAACAATCCTAGTATCAATTTATTTCATCATTTTCTGTTCTGAATAATTGAAAAAATCTCCCTATATATATCTGCACAGTGTTTTGTAATAACCCCCCTAAGTATATCTTCTATTCCTTACCATTAATGAAATAAAAAAGCATGAACATTATAAGTTGCAAATTAATATTTAAGTACAGAATTAACTTAAATGCTATCAAAACCTTACAAATCTTTACTGAGAAAGACAGTTTGGCTCCTTAAGAAAACTTGAATGTGTTTTTAATAGTAGCCTTTAAGCTATGCTATATGTTCTTAGGTAATCAGACAAATTTTGCCCTTTGCCTTCCTCAGTTGTGGTTTCTAACTGTAGCATTTTCAGGGTGCATAGCGTTTTTAAAAAGTGCTGAAAGGTGTCTATTTTTGAGTTACGTTATTTAAAAGCCATTAAAGGTGCTTTTTTTATTTGGTGTTCGTAAAAAATGCTTAATTTTTTATATTTATCAGTTGTCATTCTAAATTACAAAAAATTCATGATTTCTGTAATTTTCTCTGCAATATTTATCAGGAACTAGTTATTTTATCATGATTATGTAAAGTTTTTGAAAATGTTTTTAAATTTTATTGATTTTATGTTTATAAATTATAAGGACTTTAAAAGGATAGAAAAAAAAACTATTTTTGTTACTGCACAGATCCTAGTTATGACATTTTTTTTTTTTGGAAAGTGATTAAAAATANATATATATATATATATATATATATATATATATATATATATATATATGGGACAGACTGATGAACCATAGCTTTCCCAACAAAAATTTACTAGTTAGGCCATAGTTTTTACTTGTTATTAATGTAGTATTAGTTAGTACTTAGATGGCACCACTGTAAAACATTGTTTTGACACGTCCGAAAAATAATAATAATGGAATGAAAAATTTATTCAATTTAAAATTTTATCAAATTTCAAGTGAAAAAAATTTCATGTTAGTATATAATCCTAATACTGGGATATAACATTTTACTGCAATTATATTATTTATAAGGTAACAAGATTTCTTGCTCCTATTTTTTGCTTTTAAAAATTTATGTAAATCAATTCCATATTTCTAGTGTGGTGGGGGTTAAGTCCTATTGACTTTATTAAAAAAAAAACTCAATTTTGTTTTTATTATTATATTAAGAAATGGAGTATTTTGTGTTTTAATGTTTCAATATTGTTTGACAATGGTGGTATCTAAGAACTAAACTAGATTGGTAGATTGCCTGCCACATGATTACCTTTTTATTACGATGACAGTTTTCTAATTCTCTTATTTTCCCTCAGGTTGTGTGTAGATACTATTTTAGCAACACCTAGAAGTTATTCATTGTGGACTATTCTGCCTCATAAAATACAACTACTTTTAAATTTGAAGCAAGGCAGTAGGCCATCAGGAAACATGATTGGTTCCTGAAACTTTTCATCTTTTGGAAGTGTAGTGCTTTCTTTCTCTGATAACTGAAATGGAAAATAACAGTTTTGTTATCAAGTTTATTAATTGTTGTGAAAGAAATAAGTACTTGGGGGTAATAATAAGCAATACTTGAAGTGTTAAAAGTACTCTTCAGTCCTGAAAATATTACGTAATTATAAAAAAGAAAATTTAGTATTATTTTTTTTAAGAAAAAATTTCAGTCTAAATTTAATTTAAATTAAGTTTTTTTCTAAAAAAACTTAATTTAAATTTAATTATTTAAGTTTGCCTAATTACAAGAACGAAATTGATTGGTAAAGTAGTTTTCAGGCATATTTAGTCTAAATTTGCTTTTAAAATAAGTTGTTTTACTAGAAAAACGAAACGCCAAAGTGGTACTTGCTGTGATAATTTCTTTATTTTTCATTATGCCAGTTATTAAAGTCAAAATTTAAATTCAAAATAAAATATTTTATTGTGTCAAAAAGCCAAAAGTTATAACTGTAAAAGCTGTGATAATAGTATTCATTGTTTAAGTTATTCTTGATTTAATTTTAAAATAGATTTTTATATATGGCAGCCAAATGCTGTGGCTCAGCAAATTATGTTACTTTATTACTGCATTTCTCATTATTTAGTTTAACATTGGTTTGCCTAAAAGTGACTAATTTAAAAAACAGTGTAACAACAGAACAGGAAAGAATTAGAGAATTTAATTAAAACACCCAAAAATCTCCAAAAAAGCAATTATTTTGTGGCACCTACAAGTTTTTTCCTTCCAAAAAAATTTGTATGAATTCTGCAATATACTTTCTATTGCTCAATTTTGGTTAAATTTATATTGATAAATAGATATCTACTGATGTGCCTTGTTACTGCATTTATATAAAAATCTTATCTGTTAATCTTAATTATTTTTTTGCTTTAAAGTTTGCTTAAGATTTTATTAGAAAATAGTATACTACTAAAATAAAAACTTTTTTTTTTCAGTATTTCATAAGTAATTGGGGAGGGACTCTCATAACAAATGCTTCCCACAGAAGTTTATTTTCACCTTTAGTAGTTAATAAGGTGTTTTATGATGTATTTAAGTGCATGAATAAGACATAATTAATAACAATTCATGATAAAATTCATGCCACGAACTTCAAAAGTCAGGTAAAAAAAAAAATTCTGGCGTATACCTTAAATGGTCAATATAAAAGAAAAATTAAAGGATATAGCAATGTGCAAGTTACAAAATCAAATAAAACCCAGAAAATTCCTTTTTTCAGATCTTAAAATTAATGATTCTTTACAAAAGATGGCATTGCTGCCTGGAAAATCTATAAAACAGTGCTTTTTGCATCATAAAATAACTTGAACTGCCATGTGTTTCTTTTGTTCTCAGATAATGGCACTCAGTTGGTGCTAATGGTGGTTATTTGTAATTGTTTTTTTACAGCTTTTCTTTATTGGCAGCTTTATCTGTTAACAAACTAAGTAACAAATCTAAAAACTCAGAACTCATTGAAATAAAATATCTAGTTTCCTAAGCAGAAAATCATACATTTATACCCTTTTTTTTCCTCTAAATTTTCGAATATTTAATTCTGAGAAAAATCAATGTTTGTTTTTCAATTTAGTTTGCAATAATGTTTGTTTTTGCAATATACCAAATATCTATTGTAAATATATTACTGTTATTATGTTTCTTTAATTTATTTACCTTCGACAAAGAAAGTTTATATATTATAATAAGTGTATTGAAATTGAGCTATATAAATTTATATTACAACAAGATAAAAATTTTGTTGCATTTATATCAAAATAATTGTTTGTTTTTTTTAACTAATAAGTGCATGAGAGATAAAGTGAAACCTCTGGAGAGCGACCACTCTCCATTCCACAGTAAAATGGTCTATGATGGATATTAGTCATTCTTAGAGCTTGCCTCTATTGACTTCAAAATTGTTATCAAAGATTCATGACTTTTCACATACGATTTTATTTCTACTCAGTATCATTTTAGTGATGCGGAAATGCCACTTCTGTTGTCATCATGAAAAGACGAATCTATGAATGAAATTTAGCGTCTATCAAAATGATATCAACTAATATAATTATGGGTAAAAATATTAATGTCCAATAATTAATGAGAAAGGTATTTTATATAAATAAAAAAATTTTTTTTTTTTTGTTTAAGTTTGCATTTAATTTTATATCATGAAAATTAGTTTGCTTTAAGAGATGAGAAGAAGTTTGTTTGAGATGCTTGTTTTTTCTAAAATAACTTTTTTTCTTATTTGACTTTTAACTCTAAAAGTAAAGCATCGTCTTTAGTGCACTCTGATTGCAACATGAGGTTGTATCGGCAAAAGGAGCTCTCTAAATTTGAGTCTCACACAAATATTCTGAATAGATTTTAATCTACTCATTTGTTTTGTTAAATTTTTTGTTTTTGTATTTTTTGTGTTTCCTTATTTGACCTTTTCCGCATTTGGTGCAGATGTTTGCCTGGTCGCTGGGACAGGTTTTAATGGTCTTTCCTGAAGGTTTTCTTTAATACAAAGTCCATGGAAAAAATTCAATACCTCCCAAAAATGGTCACTTCATCAGAGGTGGTCTTTCCTGGAAGTTTCACTGTACTTTATTGCACTTTATTACTTTATTTTACCTTTTAATGTATACATTTTTTATTTATTGAGCTAAATGCTGCCCATACTATTATTATACTTCAATAAATTAAATTGACCAGTTATTTACATCCTTTTAAAATTTTGTTTAGTCTCTTTAATATTGTTTTTACTCATATCTCAACTAACTGTTTTTTTCACTTTTTTTTTTTTGTTATCATATCTCAACTAATTATGAAAATCAAAAAAAAATTTAAATCCATTTATAAAACTCATCTGCCCAAAAAGTGATTTCAAAATTATTTTCAGTTATCTATTTATTATTTAGCTTAGTAATGATTGAAAACTTTTAGAATTGTGAGATATTAAAATTTTTACATTTTAATAATACTGAAAGAAAACACAAATAATTAAGATCAAAAGGATAAAACTTCTTTGAAAAAAAACGCGCTAAGAAGCAGCAGAAATTTCAGAAAAAAGTATCAATACAAAACAAATGAAATAAAATAAAAATATGACCACCGAAGCCGACGTCTTCAGGGGGTACCGGCCCCGGTAGCCATTAAAAACAAAACCATTTCTATTTGAGGGAGAAGCAAAAGCTTAAAATATCTCCCTCAGTTTAACATTATTACATTATTACATTTTAATAAGTAATTTAGCTTCTAATGACAGATTACATACTTTGATAGTTCCTCAGAAATACAAAATCAAACATGCGACTTTTTCCATTTTTATTTTTCTTATACCTACTTATTTAATTGAATTTCGTGCAAATTTCATATTTTGTTATTCAGAGTTATTTTAAAATTTGTTTACTATCCGATTCCAATTTTTTTTTCCAGTCATTTCTAAATTAAAAGATGTTTGTTTTTTCCTTGAAATTATTTTGGAATAAAGTTTTTATATAAATGGTTACATAATTTTTTTTTTATTTGTGTTACGAGTTATAGAAATATGACAAACAGAACAGCAAAAAGTAACAATGACATTAAGGGGCCCCATTAGTTTAAAGATCGAAGATTCAAATCCATTTAGGAAAAAGTGTATGGAAAAGCAGAGAAATTGCATTTTGTGTCTGTTTTTGTAATGAAATTCATACTAACAATCATGTTTAAAATGTAAGGTTAATGTTTGAACCATTAAGATTTTATTATAGTAAAGTGAAAATCCAATCATTAGATCAGAGGTTAATGAGAGTGATACTCTTTTTTTTTTCTTCTGCTCACTGTACAGTTCTTTTAGAACAAGTTTATAAGGTATAGGAAAATATAATATATAAAATTAATGTTATAAAGTTATCAAACACAACTTGTTATATTTTTTCTTTTAATTCATTTTTATTTTCAAAGAATACTTATCTAAATATACTTTTGTGAATGCATTATAATATATTTCTTATGTTTAAAGATTTTGAACTTTTTTTTTTTAGAATGTTTATTTTTCTTGATTTCCCTATTAGTTTATACAGCTCTTAACTCTTATTAACATTTTTATGTTAGTGTGATTCTTTTTTTTTATCAGCTATGTTATAAAATCACTTTTTCTAGTAATGAATGCCTTAAGTAGGTTTGTTTTTTGTTTTTTCAGAGTTTGTTGTCATCTCATTTTTATTTATTGACATTTCTTTCATATTTTATGTGTGTTTTGTTTCAGATTTAACATTTTATGTCTGTTGTCATGTAATCTTTGTAAATAAACATTGTTGATGCTAATTGTCTTTTCTTTATTCACATTTTTTGTCTCTGCATTTCAGAATGATTCAGTCAATATTGCTGCCCTTGTTCTCGCTTGTAAAATTATTTCTTTCAAACTACACCGGAAATTATGTGACCTGCCCTAATGCATAAAGTAGGGTTACTCGTCATAATGTCGTTCTAGGTTTAACTTAGTCTTGGGAAATTTATTCATTCAAGAAGTCTTGATCATTGTTAATGCAGATTACGAAGAAGTAAGTTCGTATTTTTCTTTTTCAAAAAAATGATTAAGGAAAAATTCAGTAAATAAATTTGAATTTTTCTTAAAATCTTACTAAGCATCTGTTTCAAAATTTAACTTTCACTTCTAGCACAGTCGTTTCATCTTCCATTAAAGCTTTAAGTAAAATAAAATATAATATTGTATGTTTGTGGTTTTTTTTTATAAAATAGCCACATTTCCCCGTGATCACAGTTAACTATTAAACATAAGGTAAGAAGTTTTACCTTAACACTTTACAGAATGAAAATCCGACAAACCGTTCAAAATTTATCAGAGTAATAACTTTATTTCCTTTTTTTCTGATAAGCTTTAAAAATGATGCTGACGAATTCTTAGCCAAATTCAAAAACGCCTTCTCTTTTGTATTTAGTAAAAACGTTTTGCAAAGTAGCTTAATGACCTTATACAGAAAAAAAAATTAAAAAGAAAAGAAAAAACTCAAGTACCAGAATTAGTAGTTATTTGAGTAAACATTTATTTTTCAACTCTATTTCAGCTTGAAATTATAATATTCTTTAGCCTCTGTCACAATTTGCGAAGTCTGGTGGTTCCCCTACAAAAGAAATATTTAATAAATGATTTCGTATTCTGTTTTTAAAAACTGACTTGAAATACTTGATAAAGCATTTTTATTACAATTCGAAAAATAAATTTATTGAGAAAAACGTGACACTTAATCAAAAAACGTTTTTCATTGTTTGAGAACATAATTGAGGAGCTTAGTAAAAAGACGTTTTAGAGTAAATTAATTTTTAAAGTCTATGCGCTAACTTTTGGAAATGAAGATCATTATTTGCTTTCATTTCTTTTTTAAACTCTTCGTGTATCTACCACTACATAAATATAATTCCAATTCACTAATATATAAGACATGTTAACTCTAATTTTATGGTTCTTTTCATAGATGATGGTTGACATGATCGATAACTACTCGCAGAGATGCAAACTTGCTCCGGACAGCAAATATATATTTTAAAGTGGTAGTTTATCAATTGTGATTCTTGGTTTATTAAATTCAATTTAGTAAGATTTTCATCCTCCACTATTTCTAAATAATTCGTATGCTTATATAATTCCCCACTTCGTATACCTATGTTATGCTATACCTTTTAAAAAGCAAGTAAAATGAGTCAAATATTTGCACAATTTACTTTGTAGTTATTTACCGTTTTTTAAATCATTTTGGCGTGTCCGGAGCAGTTGGCATCTCTGTACTCACTCCCCACTTGGTGACCCGAACGGGATGTGAACACGCCTACCTTGGCAGAAACGCTCACTATGATTTGAACAAGCCTACTTCGATGGATGATCCACCCATTAAACAGTTGATTTGCTACTTGTGTCTGCAACATTATCCACCTCCTCGCGCTGTTGCTACCCAGACTCGATCACACACATCGTCGGCCTGCACTCGACTGCTAATGGCAACACAGGAACAATCACGACCCTGAACTTATTACAGATCTCACGATCAGAAAAAGTACGGTAATCTTAATGCAGCTCTCCCGGCTTCTCACAAAAAAACAGCAGTAAATCAACTAGTGGTATNAGCCTACTAGGATGGATGATCCACCCATTAAACAGTTGATTTGCTACTTGTGTCTGCAACATTATCCACCTCCTCGCGCTGTTGCAACCCAGACTCGATCACACACAACGTCGGCCTGCACTCGACTGCTAATGGCAACACAGGAACAATCACGACCCTGAACTTATTACAGCTCTCACGATCAGAAAAAGTACGGTAATTTTAATGCAGCTCTCCCGGCTTCTCACAAAAAAAAGCAATAAATCAACTAGTGGTATCCGTTCATCGAATTCTACTACAGCTATAATTCTGGTGTTGAGAGTACTGTAGTGTATCTACCACTACAAAAATATAATTCCAATTCACTAGTATATAAGACATGTTAACTCGATTCTATGGTTCTTTTCATAGATGAAGGTTGGCATTGTCGATAACTACTCACTCCCCACAGTTATTCTTCTCTCTGATTGTTGCCAAACACATTTTTTATCTTCTTCTATAATGAGATTTGCTATTGAAAAACTTAACAAATTAGTTAAATAAGGTCTTTCTCCGAGAAATATTTTATTTTAATGTGCCGTAGAACCTTCTTCCACTATCGTGAGTGGGCCACTAGAATTGGGCGAGTTTAACTGTTTCGTTTTCTCTGTAAATATTTGCCTCAAAGTTTTGTTATTATTCGAAGCCAGCCTGGAAAGAAGTTCAACCAGTTTTGCTACGCAACGAGAAATGTTTGTAGAGGAGCGTGTCTGCTTCAAAAGCAATATTTGCTCGGATTTCGAACAAAGTTGAGACAAATATTTACATTTTGGCTGTAAGCTCGCTTCGCTACGTCACAAAATGAAAAGATCACTAATAGTCAAAACAGTATATGCTTTTCATTGGCACTTTCTGCCTCTGTATTTTTTTGTTTATCTAAGTGAAATACTAAATCTCACCTTTCAAACACCATCCCGGAAATGGACCATGTGGTCTATAGTCATTCTTCCAAGTATAGTCTTGAATGTGGGCTCCCTCGCATTTCCGGGGTTCACTATATATGGCCCTCCATGGTTCTTCGAACAAATTTGGCATAGGAGGAGTAGAATAAGCATCCGCTGAACAAACAGAGTGAACATTAATAAAAGATCAGCTTAAGTGGTATCAAACGTTATATCATAATATTAAGACAATCTCTTTCAAGAAGTTCGTTTAACGTAAGGCGGCCATGCTAGAGCAGTTTATGACAAAACAATGAACTCTCCATTTTCAAGAGAGAACGCTATTCACGATGGGACTAGACAATATAACTTCAACAACAACAAAAAAACCAACGTGATCAAGCATTGGCGATCGAAATGGGCTACAGGTGGCGTTGAGCAGAACTCTACCTATGGCAGCACTTCGCACGCTTTCACCATTAGAGTGTGGAGAGTCTTAGACTAAGGAAGTACGTTAGTCTCTGTCTTGATTTTCATATAGATTAAAAACTTCATGGAACAGAAAACAACATTGAACATAGTTATAAAAGAAAGAGTCGTGGGAATTTTTTTTTACGGTTAAATACGAAAAATAATATTGAGAAAGGGGAAAATATCGTAGTGCATTCCCATACAACTAAGAAGAGGAGGAGAGGGAAGGGGGAGGATCAAGTTGTAGTTCACTTACGTCGCACTAAAGCTGCGCAATGGGCTATTGGCGAGGGTCTGGGAAACATCCTTGAGGCTGATCCGAAG